AGGAATAACACAGGTACAACAATTTTTCAAGTCAGATTTCAAAGTTCTGACCCAACAAAAAAATCTCAGAAAAGTACCACCATAAATGTGAAAATGTTACTCAGTTCCAATTTTGTGAAATGAAAAATTGTGGGATCACCAGTCTTCCTTTCATATAGTCTCTTTGAGATCGACACCAAGTTCCCGAGACCAAGACTGAAATTGCTATTGTTATTGAATATAGCCAAGAAGGAGACTAAGATTAATTGGTACTGAGGTCGACACTTATCACTACTAAAAGCCGAGACTGACTGAGACCGAGACCGAGACCGAGATCGAGAGTCGCGGTTTGGTCTTGGTCTCAGTGCATCCCTAGTTACGACCGAATAAGTTATAAGAATCCTTCCCACACAGGATGCGGAGGAATACAAGGGATGTCGCTATATATGTCCCAAAAAGTTGCACAGATCAGCCCTGGGAACGTCTTACATAGTTCTAATTACCATCCTGGGGTAGGTTCCGAAAAGGTACAGAAACCACCCCTTAGTAGTTCCTTAAAAGCTCTAAGTATCACCTCTAAGTAGACCCAAAGCAGCTAAAGGAACTACCACTGGATAGGTCCTAAAACTTCTAACTAATCCCTCTGGCTGAGTCCTTAGAACTTCTAAGTACTACCCCTGGTCAGGCTCAAAAAAGTTATAGGTACCACCTCTAGGTAGGTTTCTAATAGCTATAGGGACCAGTCCTATCCCGATCCTGGAAGCTTCTAAGTACGATCTCCAAGTAGGTCAGAAGTAGTTGTAAAGAATCCTCCTGGATAGATTCTAAAAAATTGTAAGTACTATCCTTAGGTCGGTATTTATTACGGTAATAATTACAAGTAATGCTCGTCTGTAGACTCGCTTAGCTCTTTCTCGTAGAAGTGCTGTTTGTAAACTGTTAACAAATTGCTTATTTACGTGGTTTCACGATTCGAAATCAGCACATTCACACTGCATTATTCTGCCAGGTGCATCTATCTACACGTTTGAGTTTAGCATTCTGAACAGAAAGTTGGGCTGATTTTTTTCCAACACTATGATGAGATTAGTAAATTCTATTATCCGCTACTCTTGTCACCTAAATCTCATTATCGATGATAGATTCTGGCTTTTACCTCGAATATCTGTGGCCAACTTTTTTTATAAAATATTCATAGTTAACAACCAAGTAATAATTAATTACCAATTAATCAATAAAAACTGACTTCAGGTTCCGATTCTCCGCCCTGAATTCCCTTTCGGTCAAGTTTTATGGAAAAAATTATTAATTGATAATTAATAATCCGTTAATTATTAATTAATTAATAAAAACTGACCTCAGATTTGGATTCCCCGCTCTTAATTACCCTTCGGTCAAGTTTTATGAAAACAATTAATAATTGGTTAATTGCTAATTATTAATTAATTAATAAAACCTGACCTTAGATTCGGATTCCCCACCCTCGATTATCCTTTGGTCATGTTTTATGGAAAAAACAATTACCTGCATTTTCATATTGTTCGACCAATCAGTGAAGTGCGGACATACAAGCAATCAATCAGACAATTTATGTTTGCTAGACTCTTCTCTACGAGAAAGAGAATTACTCGTTATTACTTATCAGTTGTCACTTTTATTAGTTTCAAATTTTTGTTACTTTATTACTGGTAATAAATAATAAAAGTAATAATAATTAGGAATATAACGCTCATGCTCATGAGCGTGAGCGTAAGCTGTACACTCCTATGTTGGATCCTACTTGATTTTTAAGTATCGCAAAATTCATCGCAACCTAGCAGAATTCATCGGAATTCGCCAATATGTCAATCTCATAAGTTCACTTTTGCTCCCTAATCGAAAATCCTACGACCAATTCCTCCTTTTTTGCTCAGTTTTTTTGGATCATATTGGATCCTGCTGGATCCTATTGGATCCTGTTGGATCCTATTGGATCCTGTTGGATCCTTTGGATCCTGTTGGATCCTATTGGATCCTGTTGGATCCTTTGGATCCTGTTGGATCCTATGGATCCTCCTGGATCCTATTGGATCCTGTTGGATCCTGCTGGATCCTGCTGGATCCTGCTGGATCCTAGGATCCGCTTTTTCCCCCTTGATCGAACTATATACTTTTTATCACTTTATTTTCCACTTTGACTCCAAAATTTAGTGAATGTTTAACAAATTTTTTTTAGATCAATTTTCAATGATTTGTCTTTTTCGAGTAAATTGTAGTCCTCTAGATATGTCAATCTTTTAAATTAATATACAGTTCGATAAAGCAGTAATTTCTCTATTAATTCATGCAATTTTAGCCTGATTTAGTGAATAGTGTCACATATCCAAGATTTTGGAGATGCCGCATCTCCAGCGAGAGACGCGGCACCCACACTCGGAAGATGAGGTCATTCACCACTGGAGATGTAAGATCTCCTTTAGAGAGACGCATCCCGCACACCCACACTCGCATCTCTCGGGCGAGATCCGGCATCTCCCGCAGGAGATGTGGTGGCATCTCCAAAATCTTGGATATGTGACACTGCTGGATTTAGTTGTAAAATATTATAGTTAAATTTCAGATTATATGAATATCACCGGAAATGAAGCAGTACGAAAGTGTCTAAAATTTCAATAGTAAAATTTATTTTCTCCTCGAATTGAAAAAATGTTGAATCAATATTTGGTGCAAACTTAAGTATGAAGGATCACTTTCATTTAAGATTAATTTTGCAACAATCGAACTTAGCCTGAGTGAAGTATACGTTTGCAAAAGTTACTTTAAGCTAGTTTTAGAATTTGTTAAATTTTTTAATCAAGACATCTGATAAAACAAATGAAAACTATACCATTGGATAGAACAATCAATGCCCTATCTAATCATATATAAATAAAAAATTTTCGACGTTTTGCACAAATACAATAAACTGAAGAAAACTACTAAAACTAAGTGAATCATCCTGTATGTGTGATTAGTTTATGTTGCTGGCGGTTTTCGTCTGATGATGGTATCTGTGAAATAGATACCGACAGATCACGTGTTACAAAAAAGACTTTAGCTGTTTTTAATATTTAATATTCTATTTTACATTACATAATTGTCCATTTATTTTTTATCTAGAACATCATGCTTAGCTGAACTATCTAAATCTAAGAAAGATGATAAATTCATATTAAGCATATGTTGTTGTTCATTGCTAGAAATCGCAAGAACAAGAATTAAGATAATTATATACATAAATAAATAATTATATCGCTACTTTTTAGAGCATGGTTCATCATTTGTATTAATATACAGACAATGCTCAAATCTTTCACAACGACGAAATAAAGTTGATCTCTGAACCATGTGGAAAAATCTAATGAACTATATCAAAAAATTTATTGCTTTCTTTTATTTTCTTACCACTTATTTTATTCTTGGAGGTTTTCATATGTTGTTTCAAAGAAAAATAAACGAAAGAAACAAATAGTCAAGAAAAAATATAAGTCATCATCTTCATCATCTGAAACTTTTTCATCATATTCCAAATAGAACGTGAATCTTCTTCAGTGATACCACCATGGATTGACGAATCACCTTGCTGATCTTCCACTGAATTCAAAGTTTTGGCTTTTTTAGCACCCTTGTTGTTCTTCATTTCATGAGTATAACTACGGAAGACACCATTAATAGCTTCACGAAAAGGTCGATTATCGATTGTACCATATTATTATTCAACAAAAGCTAAACAAAGTGAAAAGAGTATAATTAATAATAGATGATGAAATAAAGGATCCCTCTCGAAACTATCAATAAGTTTGCTCTTAAAGACTCCTGCTTGTGAAGACTTAATTTTTAGAAATTAGAAAAATGAATAACGTTTTCTTTTGCTTTTCATCATGTATATTATTAAAGATTGAGGAAATAGCCTACGAAAACAAAAAAAAACGATTAGACATTAGATTTTATTTATTTTCCATTATCTTCATTGATTATAGAAGAGCGGAAGAAGAAACTAGACATGATTTTTGCTAATTGGAATATTCTCTTTCAATAAGTTAACTCGAATTATTTGAAATGCAATTTCAATATTTTCGTGAAATTTCACCTCTGATTAATTTTCGTTTTTCCACAGTTACATCCTTGCTACGATCTTTTCGAAGTTCAACTGATGAATAAAGTAATTTAATGATTTGTCGAGTAGTATTGGAAGGACTATTTCGAATACATGAGGTAAATGATGATGATTTTTTAATGCCTAGTTTCTCAGCAGTGCTATCAGTATTTAAGCCTGATGATTTCGGAGCAAGTTGTTTTCCAATTTGAATAAGCCAGTTGCGCCCATCATCGCCAAGCATAGCTAGAAATATTATAATAGAAGCAAATTTCAATTTTATGATCATAATGATCTTTACACAAACTGTTTTTCTTCAATCGTCGATAAACCACAACGAGTTTGTTATATTTCCTCTCTAATATACGATTTTCAAGTTTAAGTTTATTGTATTGATTCAAAAAATATTCTTCGTCTCGTTCAAGTGGATCAATATCCATTTGACATGTATCATTGTGCTCTTCATCGTTATCATCCTCACTAATAAATTCATGTCCTAAAAAAAGTATACTTACAATAAAAATTAATGAACCAAAGCAGTGTGGATGGAAAATGTAATGCAAGATAATAGTTTCTTATTGCCTCAGAAACAGGTAGTTACATATTTCAGATTTTAATGTTAAGGTACATGAAAGAAAAGAACTGTTTCAATTTTAAAATTAACCTTCTATTTTGTTTTGAATAATACATGAAACAATACTGATTACTTTAACAATATAATAATATTTGAAGCAAGCATTTAACATTTCTCCACAATGTAGGTTGCTATAATAAATAGGAGATGAAGCACCAGTTGAAGATTTTTTTTAATTTTATCATGTGTAACGAGATCTAAATACCAAGAGAATGGTGTTAATGAAACATGTGTTGTACGATTATTTTTGGGCGTGCATATGTTCGAATCAATTATTGATCGTGAGTTTGTGTAAGTTACAAAAGTAATAGATGAGTTAAAAAATGAAGAAGTACTAACAACTATCTTCTTTAACACTATTCAGAAAAAAATCAAATTATTCTTTCCTTAAATAAAATTTGTTTTTTGTCAAGTCGAAAACACTTGTGAATAGAGTCTTATAGAAAAAGTTCTTAGGGTTCATAACACTCAAGTTCTGAATAACTCCAAATATCACCCAACATTCTAAATATCTTCCATCTGATAATAATTGCACAAAAAATAGCTTACTATGGTCTAATATTTCTTGATTTGCATCTATTTGACCAGTAGAAGATTTCATGGATAAAATTGGAGTAATGGGAGATTTTTGAGATCATTTTTCTTCAAATACAGTTTCATTTGAATTTGCAACAGTTATAGACGTATATGTTCCATTGTTGCTTCTGAATCGATCATCTAAAATAAAAGTGTATTTTTTGAAGAAAAATCTAAATGAAAAACTATACCCAATGTTTTGCCATTTTTATTTTTCGAATAGTTAAACTCTGATTCAGCTTGAAGACGTTCAAGTCTTGTTTTGATGCTGATGGGTGTGGGTATGGAAGTGGGGTTCGTGTGGAGGTGTGTGTGGGTATGAGTGTGAGTGCTGGTGAAGAGAAGACTACCACTCACACTCACCCCACACTGTACACCCATCCCGTCCACACACACACACAACACTCTGATTTTGTTACATCTCAAATCGAGTTTCGTACATTGTTTCATTTCCAATTGTTCGTTGATCAGTCGATGTGTGTCTTCATTAGTTAAATTTCTCCAAGATAAATCAGTCATTTTGCCAAAGTCAGTTGCTGATGATATCGATAATATTTCTCTTAGAACGAATATCTTAGAAGATAAATTTGATGTTCACTCGTATAGTTAAGCAGTGTTTTGATCACAAGTTAGTCAAGCATCCTCGAATCTCAAGACTCTATGTTTACTTATTTCAGATAAATGTGAGCAAAGAAGATAACATGTGACCAACGAACACGCTGCTACTAATGTAAATATGAGCGGTTTTTCTTGTTACTATGATCAAAAAAAAAAGTAACAATATCAAGTTGACTGTATGAGTGCTTCAACTTCTTTCAGCTGCTCAACAAGCTGAAGTCAAACAGAGTCTCTTATTCGTCTTAATGTATCACTCTTATGTTTACCGTAAGAGTAGCAAGTATGATATTTATATTGATAAAAATCACAACATACTCTGCAATAGCATAATGTAAATAATAGCTTTTTCTTTGGAAACTCCATTCATTACATGAACTTTTCGTTTTAAACTCTTTTAAAAAAACAAATTTTAATTTTCTCAAAATGTATTTCGATAATCAGTGTTATTTTGGTTCAAAATGAAAATTTCAATGAAAGTATCCTATATTTCCTTCTTACAAGTTAGATCAGTGGCGGCGGAGCCTGTAGGCCCAGTGAGGCTTGAGCCTCGCTTGTTTTTGGCTTCTGTAGGCTCAGCCTCACCTGATTTTAGCTCATACAGACTGAAGATCAGTTAAATTATCGATTTCACAATCAGTCAATTTCAATTTGAAGCATATTTGTGATGCGAGTCATTTTTCAAATTGAAAATTTCAATAAGTTCGAGAGTTTTATTTATATTTAGTAATGAAAAGAACAGACGATCTGAAACAATAATGAACCCATTAATTGTGTTGTCATGATTCAGATTGACGCTTTCTATATTACATTCGTATAGTGATGCTCCAAATAAATGAATAATTAGTAGAATTATTTGATAGCATGATTTACAATCTAAATAATATCTAATAATTCGATTGTTTTCTATTCTCTGATGGAGTATAATTACCTTCATTTTATTTATTGAACTGCAATCTTAGCAATGGTATATGATTTCAATAAAAATATTCACTAAATGACGTCTGACGAGCTGCTAATGCAATTCTTACAGAATTCAAATGCAAAGCATATTGTCACTGAAATTTAGTCACAGAATATTTCTTTGTATTTCATGTATTTAGAACATTGTACTATCTTCCAAATCATTCTCTACGATTTCAACAATAAACGAACTCACGTTCTAATAAAATGCTATTAATATGCTCCTTGAATTTTATCTCAACTGAGTTCGTTACCGTTCGTGACAGAATTCAATAACGTCTGTCACAATGTTCGCATAGGACGGAATAGTTTCATTCAACCAGTATTTTCGTTAACTTCTGCATTAATTATTCGAGAATCACTTAGTACGAGAATAATAACCACACACTACTAGTAGTTAATTAGGCATTGACTAATTAGACATTAGTTGGTTACTTAATCAAAATTTTTGTCGGAATCTGTCACTTCTCGTCGTTCTTGTCTATTATTAATTTTCAAAGTATGTTTCATGGTCTGAGAGATGAGACGGTATGAATTCAAATTTTATCTTCAATATACTCTAAGACTCCTTCCAAATTAAATTTCGCCAAAGTTGATCAGAACATGAACATCTCGGATTCTGTATTCGTTTTATATGATAGCCTTTACTTGTGCTAGAAAATGATTAGATTATTCTCCTTAATCGAGCATGAAATGAGTGAGATGAGAACAAAACATATCAAAAACTTTCTGCAATGCATGAAATTTTAAATAGTGTATAAATTCTTCGAGAATTTTCCAAATCGATTAGAGATTAGTTACCCAATTAATAAAGTGAGAAGAGACATTTTTCATAACAATGAGTAGCTTATCTCAGGAATAGCGATTGCGAATTTCGACTATTACCATATTGTGAAGCTTTTTCTTCTTCTAGCTCTACAAAATTTTCTTGAAAGGAAGAGTTTTTTTTAGGGTTATATCGTAGCAATATAAGTCACTTCGAAATTTACTCGCTCTTGTCATACAATAATGAAATATGATGGCAACAGGAAACAAACCTGCACATTATTTTTAAAAATAGGCTGAAGTTTAGACGAATCTATTTTCTCATTTAGCAAGCAACTAAGAACTTAGTATTTTCAATAAATTGTGTATGAGAGTAGCTTAATCTGGATAACTATTCATGTTTCATTTTGGAGGTCTTTTTGTCTTTTCATATTTTTGCAACCACATGTCGTAAAGTTTATTGTTGTAAGCGTTCGGCCTACACGAGTTATCTATTCTGATAATCATACTAATAATTGACAGAATTTTCAAGATCAAATCCAATGAATAAAGACTCTTTGAGCTGTTATAGTTTAATCAATGTTTAGTGATCTATTTAAATAAAAACAATTCGATGCAGATCTAAAATAAATCATGCTAACATTTATAGTGTCGTAAGAAAAATGAAAACTGTTTTGGGCTGTTGTCACTATTTCAATAAAACAAATCTTAACTTTTACTGGAACTCTTCTTTTCCACTATAGATTCAGGAATTCAACTCATAGAGAATGGAAGAAGATAAAGAACTTCTTTTGGCAGTACGAAATTGAAGTCTTAAATGGCTAATCACCTGAAAGCCTCGGAACTAACCCTATTTTAATACATGAGCAACCATCTCATCAAAAACAATTGGTTTAAAGTGCATGAGCCTCACCTAATTTCAAAACGTTCCGCCACCCCTGAGTTAGATCCACTATTCTGTTCAGTCGTTGTTGCATATTGAAATGTAATATTTAATTTGTGACCCTGATATTAAGGTGTAAAAGTTTAGAAATGAGTTGTCGTGATCATGTCAATATCTGTATGAACCAGAAACTAATAGAATGTGACGAAGATTTGTAAGGAAATTCTTTGTGCTCTGTTGGCGAGCAAACGTACAACATAGTCATCTTTCTTTATGTTTGTAGTAGAGCACAATTCCGCTACCAATAAAGAACTAATAAAAGAACACACCGTCACTATGGACAATGTCTCGTTTTCATGACAAGCAAATGAGCTAATGACTCATGAAATGATGGATAAGAATGTAGATCGTTGATACATCTTTAACAATACATACACTTGCCTTCAACTAACGAAGTGCATGCCTTCTTGAGTTGGTTTTTCATAAAATAATTATCATTCAAAACCTTTCAAGTAATCTCGTATTCACCTACGATTTATAAAAATGAGTGACCTCCCAAAATATTGAACTTATTACTGTCAGCAATATTGTGAAAACGTGATTGTAACAGAAAGAATCATTGTTTTCTCTGAATTTTTTATCAGAATGCTAAATACTTTGTCTGGAATAAACTTCTTCGATTATGACCACACGATAAGATGAATATCGATGAAAAAGTCTTTATTATATTCATTGTCATTAGCTAATAAGGTTGTCATTATTTATCCGTATGTACTTAGCTGCAATACATAGTGTTTGAGCGAAAGACTGGCCTTGGTTACTTGAAAACAATAAAAATACATTCAATAAAATCTTACTGTTATTTGTAGCTTTAAATGAGTAATGAGAATATCAAAGGATTTATCTTCTTGGTTTGTTCGAGTTAGATCCACTAACTATACTTCTTCTTGTCGTTCTTATCTTTGAATATACTTGGCCGATATAACCTATTCTTCAAAGAATAGTTTGATCGATATCATACATAGATACACAGATAAATATATCGTTTTTCTTGCAAGATTCTATTGCATATCAATAACATTGCCTATATTTTCTTAGTCAGAGAATCTTTCTATATTAGTGAGTCATTTTTTTCAATTAATTATATTCCTAAAAATGGATGTGCTTGATGAAGACTTTTCTACTTAGGCCAATTAAGTTAAATGTTGATTTTTAGCATTAGTAAATCTCTTGATCTCGATTGCAAATAATTTATTTTTGTAAGGAAGATAATAGGTATAACGTGATGTCTGGTTATAGGTGAGTTTTAAATGGAATTAACTTCATCCCCCGCCCTACTTCAAGAATTTCATTCGCACTTCTTATACAATCATTGACGCACTGACACTTCAACGCCATCGGGTAAGAGGTTTGAATATTCCAGTTTTGATTTATGCAATTGTGAAGTATAGTTCGATGAATTTCGAATATATTTTAGATAATTTGGTGTATCTGGTATAATCACATTGTCGGCAACAATCACTGTTCCTTGCTTAATTAAACCTTCCGACTCGAGCAGTTTTAAATCGCGCAGATAATAACTTTTGTTGTGATCAACAAAGATCAAATCAAATGAATCGATGTTGAATTGACTTCTAAGTTGAGAAATGACTTGATCAGTCGAGTTGACGACGATGTGAATGCGATGGCTGACTCCAGCATGTTCGTGAATACGATGAGCAATATCAGCTGACGCTGAATTCGATTCGATTGCAACAAGTAAAGCATTTTCAGGCATTTGCGTGGCTATTCTCAGCGAG